AACATACTATAGTTAACTAGAGTTTATAGTTAACTAGAGTTTACTATCGTAAATCTAAGTTTTGACTATTGTAAATCGAAGTATATTTACTATGGGTTTCAGATTGTAATGTATAATTATGTTCTTCAACTCATACATGCACATTTTTTTTTATATTTGATAAAAATATTTGTTGTATATTCACATATTATCTTCATATTTTACATCATTGTCATCGAATTTCAAAGATTTTAAACTTTTAAATCTCAAAAAAGTTTTAGAGTAAAAAATATCAAACTATTTACTATAGTATGTATAGCAAACAATAACAAATTTTTGCTAGGGTTACTTCTCCTAGGAACCTAATTCCACTTCTGGAATTTCAAAGGGTGTGTGTTGTATGCCATGTCCACAGATTTTGAATGGGACTGTTGATATCCTTGTTTCATCAACTTATTTGTCAATAGCTTGTCTCGTTTTAGAAATTGTTTGTAGGTAGAGCGTGCTCTTGCTTATCGGATTAACTAGAAGACGCAAACTCCATATGCAAGTGATAATGGTATATTGCTACAAAAATAAGGGAAGTTTTAAATGGATATTCCCCTAATGTCATAAATGGATATTCCCCTAATGTCATAAAAGAATGTGCGATCTTTGGAATCATAAATTGAACAATATTTAAATTATTGGAATATCATTTCCTTCGTAATTCCCCATAATTAAAATGAAAGTGAAATTTATCACTAATGACAGAAACAAATATATCATCATAAAAAATCGATCCAGAACGAAGGCAAACAGTTCCCATTCGTTGGTGATATGACCCTTTCCATGCAATAAATAGTTACTTATTTCAGGAGAATATTCTGGAATTTCACCCTTTCCTAATGAGAGTCTCATGCAGTCCTTGGATCGTTCCCCTCTGTGCAATTCAACACATTCTTTTTGACGAAGATCCTGCTTCGTTTCTAAGCAACGAATTTCCGAAATCTGTACAAGTTCATCATTTTTAAGGACCATATCTGATTTTATGCACATGATTTTTCGAAATTTGTCCAAGAAAATCGCTCGGAGAAATGGAGATATTGGATGATTCTTTGGGGACTTATTATAAACGTGTAAGACAATGCTAGACAAAACACACGAGATACACACAAGTACCATGCATAATGAAAAATACATGGCGAGAAGTGGAAAGTTTTCAGCTGATGACGGAAATTTGTCTTGAGCAAGCAATAGAAACACAGATATCGATAGAAGTACAGTGACTTGTAGTGAAATTTTCTCTCCAGAAAATGGCGGAAGAACAAATCCAAGAAAACTTAACATATTAATTAAAACACAAGGAAAAATTATAGTAATTAGATAGAAAAGGGGTTTCCTTCGGATTTGAATATGAAACGTAACATCAGGATATGGGTTGGTGCAGCACTCATAGTAAATATTATGCCTCAGTGCCGTGGTGTTTACAACGTCCCATTCATTATGCATATGAAAACTAGATATATCCACTTCTTTGCTAGTACTATTCAAATCAATGTTTTTCCCAGAGTAAATCCAGGAACCAAACTTCATACTGCACATTTGGTGATCGAAAGGAAAGTACGCCACATTGAATCTACACACCACTGTCACAATGCTGGGAAAATTATACGTCACATCCCCAGTGTGACTTATGCTAGCTCTGTAATCCTCCATATCCGGCATATTTCCTTCATCACTTACTCCTTCATACAGGGTTATATCCGGGATCCAAATTTTGGAATAAGGTACTATTAACTCGGACTGGTTTTCAAATTCTGAAGGATTCCACTGGAGCATGCAGTCCCTCCATTTCAAACGAACCCATATTTTGAGACGAATCAATTGTTGTTTTTCCCAAACTTCTACAATATCTCTTAGTGCCATTCCAATTCCAACGGTTACGTGTTCCTCGTTCCCACATCTCGGTATAATGTCGGGATTGTATCTAGATAGGCTTAATAAATGATTGTATAAATCCAAACTTGTGCCTTGGTTCCTTTGACAGTAGCAAAGTCCTGTGAAAGCAGCCAAATTCAACAGAATTAAAATATAAGTCAACCAAGTATATTTCATTTTGGTCCTCATTAAAACTATCAATATGCAATATGCAGTGTCACTCTTTAGGAAATTTCTTGTACTGTCTCGATTTTTTCCGACAAAAAATGAAAACCACTATAAATCATGGAACCTGCAAGTTTGTTTTTTTTTTAATTGCGTCGCTATTTAAGAGTATGAGAAGGGTAAGTGAACGCCCAATGAAAGTCATGCGAAAATCCTTTTCTCCTTTGCATCGTCGTTAATTCGTATTCTCTCTTCTCCATGTTATCGTTTCGAAACGGTAACAATATCGCATTCTTTCTTAATGCCGCGCCTTAAACTTTCCTTATCATCATCATACCGTACTCTATATGCATACCTACATTTACTCTAAAACACATTACATATTTACATTTATATTTTCATGGTCTAAAGATTTAAAGAATGACAGATAGGATTGTATTCAAAAATAAACTGCACCAATATGCCGAAGGAATAATTCAGTTTTATTCAGCAAACATCTGACAAGTTTAGATCTTTTAATATCACAGTGTACATGTATGTGATTTTTTTCCAATCCTCTGCTGGAATGTTTTTGGTTCGGCTTAGTTTCTTCCGTTTCTTTTCTTTTTCTTGATATCTGTTCTAATTCCTTCACAATGCGAACACTCAAAATGGGATTGATTTTAACACATTTATTCCTTAATTCAATATTTTTTGACTTGTAACTTTTAAGTCTTCAAATTAATATCGACATGGCATTTCATAAATCTTCCTTGTTCCATCGAAAGATTGTGATTACATATCTTCAGATTTTTTTCAAATGAAATCCTGAAATATTTTCCTTCCATTTTATTTATTTTTAAATAGCATTTGGTATGTACAGCAATTGTCTAGTGCACATCAAAATATCTTCTCCTTGGAATGAATTTGGTCATCATTCAAAATATCCTCTTGTCAGACAGGATTTGTTCCGGGTTTTTAGTAGATTTTTCAGTGTCCCTAATTTTAGAACTATTTAAACTGTTGCTTTTATTAGCATTAGAGACAATTAAATTAATGCCCATATCAATTCAAAGAATGCAACAATTCAAATATAAAGATATTATTATTTAAATTTAAAATACATGTATATTGAAGATATCATTAATTAAATAGCCGTTCTCTCTAAACGAATTGTTACACAAAAAATTGAATTAATCATATCATTAATTGAATCCAGAAGCTCATTAGTTCAATAGAATATATCTATATTCAATTATTGCACACATTAACTGGATCGATGCGCGGAATTATTTAATAGAATATGTACAGTAATTATTATAATTCATTTATTGCTCGCATTGATTTTAAATTTGATCTCCTTATTGAATTAATCAATTGAATTGTTGATGTAAATTCATATGATGAAAGCAATAATTAAACTATTGAGAGCATCAATTCGGCAAATTAATAAATCATGTCGACCATTGAATTAATGCGCACAAAAATTCAGAATTGAGCATGGAGATTTTACAGAAAACACACAGAATCTAAAAAAAAATTCCTTCCTATGTTGTTAATTTTAATTTTCAATTGACATTTTACAATGGAACGGTGTCGTGCTAAACTAAGACGTCTTATGTGAGTGTGAATTGATCATACATTTGTTTAAATGGAGACTTGTGAGGTCAATGCGGCAGCATCAACTTCTTTTGCCAGAAAGGTAACTCTCTTTCTCTTCAGAAGGACACACATAGACACGATTTCCTATAGAAATGTTTAATTTGTGTATTTCATTTTTTAATGATTAATATCTTTATCTAACATATATACCTTAAATGATCCACCATTTCTTTGTCAGTCACCAAAACAGTCATAAGTGGAGTGAAACAGTGTTCATTTTTTGTTATTTTAAAATCTGTAAACAAAGACTATGCTAGGCATTGTTACAAGTTTATTACATTTTGCTTCATTATTACATTTTGCATTGTAAGAAGGCATGTCAAGTTTTAAAAAAAATGAAAAAAACTATAGTCTCTTTTGCCTGTGTTTTCGATGACATTCAAACCCTAAAACGTATATTAAGATAGTCCACACTTGCCCTAAGGAATATCCTAAGCTTCATTATTCTACGAACTGAGGTCATTATTTTTCTTTAAATCGTTACAATTTTAATAATAGGTAAAGTGTGTAAGTGAATGAAAAGACATACGTCTACATGTCAAATATGAAATTCGTGCGTATGCTGTCTCAGGATTTTCATTGTTTGTGTTTAACTATTATGAAGACTTTCTGATAAAAATCAAAAGTTCTTTGGAAGGAAATTTATTTGAGTGAACCATCGATGACTACGGCATGAAATAAATTTTAGAATATTTTTTTTCTTTTCAAATCGTACAATAGCAGTGTTTCAATTATGTTTCATTCTTGACTGCAGGGTAATATAAAATGACTCAGCATTAGACACAAGATGCTTTTCGTACATCATGCAGTTTATTTTGAAAAAAAAAATTTCTATAGTGTTGTGTATTACCACTTACATATAGCTTCAAGCCTCTACCCACCTTAACTCGCAAAGGCTAGTGGTATCTTTGTGAGAACTAAATGTTTTCACGTTTTTAAAAGAAAGAGATTGTGAACTCTTTAAATATAATTGGAAATAATAATACGTCGGAATGTCGTTTCCTTTATAATTTCCTTATAATTGAAGTTAAATCAGTGCAGTTTTAAACAGACAACCACAAAGATCCGTCAAAAGCGGACGAAACGTGGAAAATAGGTGCATGTGTAACTGTGTATACTGTTTAGTGTCTTGATTATGAAGAGAAATGTTTTTAAAAAACTCTAGTTGGCCTAAACCAAACATCCACAGACCTAATAACTGTGGACAAGCAGTTTTCATGATTAATTATTCAGCGATGCAATAATTTCTTTAAAACGTAATGCAATTTTTTTTATGAATAACAACTAATCTTCAGTTCGGGAGTCACATTTTTTTTTAATTCCACATATTTTTTATGAACAAACTATGAAAATAAAATTCTTGTTTTAAAAATACAAAATATATATACTTTAAAATGGATTAACCACAATTTCATATAATCTACAAAATGTCTTCTCGAATTAAAGTTTGAAAGCTAGATAATCTGATCATCCCCATTGTAACTTGTTATAGTAACAAGGAATACTATTCCGTTCACAACATTCATCATAAGATAAATCCACATAAAGAACCGATCAAGAATAAATGCTAAAAGTTCCCAGTCAGTCGAAACCATTCTCTTTGTAACATTCGGTGTTTCAATATTCTTTTGGCTAGTATGTCCTTTGTCGTCATGTTTAGAGTCACGAACATCCAAAATTTCTAGAATGCCCTCCTCTGAAAACACTGATATACCTGCTTTAGAGCGTTTTAGTTCAGACTGACTTTCAGCCACTTCACTTATAGCATGCATACTGCGCATCTGCTTGCTGATAACTTCCGGTGTCGTCAGGACTTCCGTTGCTGCTATTCTCATTATTTTCCGGAGTCTTTCCATAAAAAAGCCATGGACCCAAGAAGACATTTCTTTCTCCAATGGTGATTTATAATGAACATACAAAACTATTCCTGACATAATACACGCTACACACACTAGGAGCATAGAAATCGAAAAATACATTGCAAGGTAAGGTATATTGTCCGAATCGGAGGGCAGCTTCTCTTGAAGAAGGACAAGAAAAACAGACAACGATAATAGCACAGTCATTTGTAGAGCAATTCTCTCTCCAGAAACAGGCGGCAAGACGAATCCCATTAGGGCTAAACTTGTGATCAGAAAGCTGGGAAATATGATGGTCACCAAGTAAAATACAGGTTTTCGTCTGATATGGATATGGAATAATACATCGGGGTATGGATCTACACAACATAAATAATACACTACTCGTCTGACAGATTTAGTTCTGACCAAGTCCCATTCATTATGGAGTTCAAAAAGAGACATATCGGTGCCATCCCCGTCCGATTGCCAGTCTAAGTGTGTACCACTATACGCCCAAGAACCGAAAGTCAGATTGCAGACCTGGTGGTCGAAGGGGAAATATGTCACTATAACTCGGCATACACTTGTTATGATGGTAGGAAAATTGTACCTGACTTCACCGTTGTTTGATACCACAGCTCGGTATTGGTCTAACCCCGGCATGTTGGCCTCATTACTAATTCCCTCAAAAACAGTTACATCTGGAATCCAGATTCTCTCAAAGGGAAGGATAATCTCTGTTTGGTTCTGAAAACTAGACGGATCCCACTTTAACATGCAGTCTGTCCAAGTCATTCGAACCCAAATGTTCAGGCGAGCCCTTTGGTGCGTTTCAGTCATTTCTACAATATCACGTATTGCTGTTCCAATTTTTACTGTAACACGGGTTTGGTTTCCACACAGCGGTATAACGTAAGGACTGTATCTGGAAGAATCTAGGAGATATTCAAATAAATCCAAACTCTCCGGTTTAATGTCTTGACCAAAACTCTCGATGGTAAAAATAACGAAAAAAATTATCCGAGACCAATCCATTTTCCTTCGTCATGTAAAGTAGTTTTATGTAAATTCACTGTCTTTTGTCTTCATTCATTCTGTAAAGACAGGACAAAATGCTTAACATACGCAAAAGTATTCTCATTATTATAGTCTGTATATCGCAATCTTTCTTAATAATTAGGATTTTGATAGCTTAAGGAGCTATTTTTTTTCATGTTAAGTCCAAATAATTAATTCAAAAAACTGAAACGGCCAAAAAGGATGTTCGTTTACTTATATTTCTAGCCCCCCCCCCCCCCCCCCCCGTTGTTTTACTGTTTTAAATGCATATTATGACTACATCGAAATTCAAACACTTACCGCTCCACTACATCTAAATCGAAAGTCCATAACGTACAATTATGACGTCATGAATTGTGAATAGCGCTAAATGACCTCACAGTATTAATGTCGCACTTATCTATAGCAGCCATTTCGATCACTTCAAAAACCTTGGCTTGGGAAGGAGGTTTTGGGGATGGGAGGGCTATTATTTTTCTAATGATAGAATGTTAACGATTTCTTTGGACAGTCCTGGTGCAAAATTGTCACCCATAGACACTCGTTACAGCTAGGACCCATCCAGGGACGTCACCAGAAAAGGGTAGCACAAAGGAATATTTGGAAGGGATATTCCCTCTCCTAGGGCAGAATAATATTTATAATTCTACTACGATTATTGCCGAGATCAAAGAAATGCCGCGGACATTATTCTCCAATAAATCACGAACGTCATCAAAAAATTATCAGATCAGAAACACGTGTCAAATCTGTACAGTTGAAATAAATATTTCACTGTATAATCTAATACTTATTTAGACCACATCGATGTGTCGTCTTCCGCAGTCTAAACGTGTGTATTGCCTGAAACAGCTGATAAATATCCGTTTTTATAGCCAAGTGGGGCTGTTCTACGGACCTCCCCATAACATTTACACTCCCGTGATTTTACTGATAAATCAATGAAATAGACAACTGGTTTTGTTATTTTTCATTCATAAAAATTAATCAATATATGTTACAAGCAAATTTATAAATAATTAAAGGATATTTTTAATCCAGCAAAAGCTGAAATCGTCTGCATTTTATGCAATCGATTGACCCTCTGGTGTTAAATGGAACAGCGAAATTGCGACATGGTGACCTAATTCGTTTCTCTATAGAGAAAACGATCAACTGTATTTTAGAGCCGTTAGTAGAATAGAAATAAAGTCCTTGTTGTCGTGAATGATGCAGGATAACCTCCTCGGTCTCGAAATGTTGTCTGAAATATAAAAGCCTCGGCTAACGCCTCGGCTTTTATATTTCAGACATTTCTCGACCTCGGAGGTTATCCTGCAACATTCACGATAACGCGGACTTTATTTCTTAAATAGATTTCATTTTGGTGGGTTCTGAAATATCCCCCCTTTGTTTGAAATTTAGTAAACAAAAGCTAGCAGTATTAATTTCAAAATATGAAAAATTAATTTGTTTCTATTGGACTTTTGCGAGAAGCGCTGACTTTAACAATCGACGGCTTACTTTTACACCAGAAAAATATACGAAATATACTTTTACGATATAAATATTTAGCTTAACAGTTAATAACACGATAATAATGGGCCATTTCAAAGTCTAGGAAGGGATCGGCAACAATCTTTCCCTCAAACCCTCCCTTCCCACCTTGACTAACTTCTGCCAAGTTTTCCTTCCAGAATGTAATACCATTTTCTTCTTTACTTAATTCCTTAGAAAAGATACATGTACTATCTCTCATGAATAAGGCATTTTAAGGGGAAGAAGGACCTTTAGCTGAAAAAATACCTGTCATTCAATTTTTTTTATATTTTGTATATTTCTTATTAAGTATGTCCCACATATCTTAAAGCAGTTATATCATTAGGTTTCTTGCCTTATTTTAGAGACAAATATTATGCCCTACAGTATCTAAGTGGAGTTTTAATCTCCATGTTTCCGGGCTCATTACTCTGTCCATAACTGGATTTTAAAAACATATATAAAAAATATGTAAGTGAACATGTATCTTTTAAAATATTTCAGAGTATGAATTGGGTTTAAAATTCGAAAAGGCAAGTTTCATCTATCACACTGCATCTGGATAGGGAGAATTACGCACTTTTTAACACAACTTAAACAACAAAAAAACGTAATTTACAAAAAATCCTATCATTCAATATTTTTGAATTTACGTTGAAATGCAAGTCCTTCAAATTATTTATTAACTGTAAAAATTTCGAATGGTGAAGCTGACCTCAATATTGCACAGGACATCGTTAAAGACGACATAAGCAGGACGAAAACTTGTCATGTTTACATTTCTCGAGTACGGGAAAAACCAACTATGACGTCACACGTAAGCTAAATAAGCGAAATAAGATATACCTACATAAGATTTCCGTCATCAGCCATGCAAAAATAATTTTTGTGTTCCCCGTTTCTCAAAATACTTCATCATATACTGATTATGACCTGTTTTTACATAATAATAACGCCCTTGTATTCACCGTGTATGATCTTGCTGTACTAGCAGATCGTGTATGACGTCACCGACTTGTTGGACGCGCAGTTTAAAGAAACAGAGGAGTGGATCAAACTTTTTTCATAATTTGTTAATATTGACAAGAATGTTAAACTTTTTATTTTTTTAATATAAGATGGTAATTAAAGAAAAAAAAATGTCAAAAATTTATACAAGAACTGATGCTTTACACGTTTTGCACTTATATAAATGGAGACTATGACGTAGTTTAACAAAGTCATGTGACCATGTGTCCTTCATCCCCCTAAGTAATTTTATTCTACCTCTAATCATTGAGTTGATAAATAATGTTATTATACCTCTACTGTTATTACTCTATATAAAATTTTTACCATAAAACTGTCTATTTCCCTGAGAAGATACTACTTCCCTCATCTGAAGACTACTCCCTGAAAAATCGGAGTTACTCCCTGGGACTACTCCCTCATGAATATTTATTAATAATTTTAACCAATTAAAATGAACAGTGGGCGGAGCGTTCAAGGAATCTCGAGTCTGTGACGTAATGTTATTAGGAATGTAACTGTGACGTCAAAACATTTCAACATGCGATGTCAAAATCATATGTGGAATTCTAAGCAAAATAAAGACAACGATAATCCTTCGAAGTGTCTGTGAAATTATTTTATATTTTTTGATAATTTTATTTTCCTCGGTATTGATGCATTAGTTATCTTACAATATTTTTAATCACATGCATTTGTGATTATTTAATTGCCTCTATATTATTTTAAGAAATGTCTGAGTCTCTAGTTGAATAAATCTCCCATGATTGTTTCGGTTAAAATAAAACAGTTATGGAATGGGTACTCGGGAAATATCAAATTTATGGTTCCCCTCGGCAGGAAACTATTTCCCTCGGCGGCTTCGCCACCTCGGGAAATAGTTTCCTCCATTGGGGAACCATAAATTTGCTATTTCCCTCATACCCATTCCATAACTGTATATTATTAGTGCCCCTTATAGGATAACTATAACCTCTATTAATGTTTTCTTATCTGTTATCAATTCCGTACCTCCGTACATAATGCAGGTTTAAATGTCAAAGTAAGCCGTCAACTGTAAAAGTCAGTGCTTCTCGCAAAAGTCCAACAAAGAGACAAATTAATGTTGCACTGTATCAATAGTTTTACAAATTTCCTACTCCTTAACATACATCACTGTGATTATACATGTAGATGGTGTAGCTTCAAAAAATACACTCAGATATTTCTGATGAGATTGTAGCTCTACTGGTTTGTATTTATGACAAAAAAGTAACAGCTGGACTTAGAATGAAATAACATTTTGAAGTGCTTCGTGTATTCTTTTTCAAGAAGCTACGACATGCACAATGCCGAATCGTAGAATTATCAATCCTTGGTTCAGTCTACTCGAGTATAAGTTTCATTGAAATCAGAGATTTAAAAGATTTCCACACATTACTATATTTTTATTAAATATTGCTTTATTGTTCAAATTAAAGACGGAAACACAAGACTGTGTGCCCTGGTATAATGTACCCATGTTCTATCAAAACAAAACTGTGGCATTTTATTTTTATGCTTAAAAAAGAATTAAAGAAAACGAATCTCATTAAGATTTTTTCATTGTGTGACTGACCCAATGCTATTTTCACCGCTTTTTAATTTTAGAATTATAAGTTGAGACAATACACTCAGACAGATTGGTATTCGTTGGGGAAAAGTCATGCTCTCACTCAGTCATATGCTTAAAAATTATGCTCCCCACCATCATAGCTTATCACAATGGTAAGAAAAGTCGTCGCAGTTATAGCATTCAAGGTAACATAGAGTACCATAAAGAATCGATCAAGAATAAAGGCTAGAAGTTCCCAATCATTTATATCATGGCTTTGAACATCGTCTTCTTGCCCGTCTGTTTCTATGTTTTCCAAAGAGTTCCCTTGGGACTTTCCAGCAATTTCCTCGGGAGTCCGATGGGTACCACCATTTTTCTCGGTAATCCTCGACTCCAAAGTTTTGGGATCATGTATCTGAATGTCTTTGCGTGCGTGGTGACTTTCAGCGTACTTTAATGCAGTCGGTTCGTCTATTGCGCGCATGCATCGAATCTGCTTGACAATGACTTCTGATGTGTTTAAAACTTTCTCCGATTTTACGAATACTAACTTTCTGAGTTTATCTATAAAAACATTGCGTACCCAACGGGGCATTTGGTGTCTTTCTGGTGATTTGTAGTACACATGCATAACTATACCAGACATTATACTCGACAAACACACTAACAGCATCGAACAGGCAAAGTATATTGCAAGGTACGGAAAGTGGTCGGAGTCTGACGGAAGTTTGTCCTGCACAAGGAAAAGGAACACAGTTAGTGAAAGAAGGACTGTCATCTGTAGGGAAATCTTTTCTCCGGAGACTGGAGGTAGGACAAACCCCATGAAAGTTAATCCCGTGATTATAAAGCAGGGGAATATTAGAGTCACTACATAAAATACTGGTTTTCGCCTCAGGTAAAAGTCGACATATATGTCGGGATAAGGATCGGGACGATTTGAATAGTACTGCACCTTTTTTCCTAATTTCGATCCCTCTAAAAACCATTCATTGTGCTCTTGGAAAATAGCAATATCCGCTACTTTTCCGTTTCTTTCCAAATCCAGCTTTGTACCACTATATACCCACGAGCCAAAGGTAAGCCTACAGACCTGGTGGTCAAAGGGGAAATAAGTCACTACGACTCGGCATACACTGGTAACAATGGTGGCAAAGTTATAAGCCACTTCTCCTTTATAATTCACTATAGCCCGAAACCTATCCATTCCAGGCATATTTGCTTCATCACTAACTGCTTCAAATAGGGTTATATCAGGGATCCAAATATTTTCAGAGGGGAAAACGATTATAGTCTGGTTGTCAAATTTTATTGGGTCCCACCTTAACATGCAATCGACCCATTTAAGTCGCATCCAAACTTTCAATCTAATAATCTGTTCCACTTCTATCAGTTCTACTATGTCTCTTATCGCCAAGCCAACTTTGACTGTTACATTACTTCCGTTTCCACAAATAGGTATGACGTCAGGGTTATATCTCGAGGAATTTAAGAGGTGTTCGAATAAAATCTGGCTCTTCTGGGAATCCTGGTGAGCATTACAAATGCTATAAATCATAAGCATAGCAAATGTTATCACTGACGATGCAAAGTTCATTTCCATGTTACTTCTTTAATTTCTTACGTCAACATAATCTCCATGTTTCTTTTGTCATATTTGTTGCAAAGTGATCCGTTTGTAGATTTTCAAGTATACCCTATATTGTTAAAGAAAAAAAAGTGTTATATTAAAGTGATAAGCATAAAAAGCAAAAAACAATAGCCCAACAGTTAAGTTAAATAGAGAATAGACAGACAAGAATCCACAGTTGCCCCAAACAAAAAATATCGTATAACTCACATTTTCCCAATGTAAGTGAATTTGGTGAAAACACCCCTCCCTTATTTTAAAAAAAAAAGTGCCTCTATGAGTTTAAAGTTTAAAAAAATTCATTTCATTAATGGATGACTTACATATATAAGGTATCTTTAAAATATCATAGCATACATTACCATTGTCTATTTGTCTGCCATCATGTCAACGACTTTGAATACTGTGACGTCATCTGCAAATCGGCTCAACATGGGTCCAAAAACAATTTTTTCGCTGTCCCATCAGTCTGGTAGATGTATTCGAATAAGAAAAATAATCACTTTGAAGTAAAGATTAATGCGTTCTCTTTGTGAAAACTTTTGAATTCGGTAGTATATTCCCGTAACGCTTGATTGTGACGTCATATGTAATTTTACACGAACTTCCCGTACTTTTCTCATTTAGTGAAATGACGTTACGCACAGGCTTGGTACTGCAAGGCTTTTCCATGTCGTAAAGAAATTGACATTTTCAACATGTGCTTATCTCTTGAAATTTAGAATGAAAATTAATTATATTACCGTATAACGGGTATTTTCTGCGGTTGGAAAATTTTGCGATTTAACCCCTAAAAGGTAGCAAATTAATTTCTGCGTTTTCAATTTCTGCGGTTGCACTATACTGCAAAAATTTATTTACGGGGTCCGATCACTAAACTTTATGAATTATCAGAACGCTGTCATGTTTATGTTTATAAATTCATTAAGACATATTGATCAAAGCTGTATGAGAACTGGTATTAAGCTATTAAGCTTAATTAAACTACTATCTTTTAGTTATTTTTTGTAAAAATATTTCGAATACCAGTTGCAATGAATTAATGCAGTGTCAGTCCACCCAAACAACAATACAAATCTTTATTCTAACAGACGTTTTATGCGATTTATTAAAATATTTAAATATATAGATAATGATAATAAATGCATCCAAGCCATATTCTAAAATACGCTTCTAATTAACTGCCATCAAAATTAATTTGGTGTTTATATTTTAAGCTAAAACAAACAATTGCATAATCTAGTACCCTAAAGTTGACGGTTAACAATCACAGGTGTCATGTGCATTGAGCCGTAACTAATCCTGTCAGTCGTCTGCATTAGGTGAAATTCACGAGACGATCAAGCCACACTGTGTATACAAGCAGTAATTATTGTCTCAATATAAAACACAAGATTAAAAAAAGTGTTTAAACAAGAAAAGCTACCATGTGTTGTTTGCAGCTATCGGAGTTTGGATTAATAATTGCGAAATAGGTACAAGTAAAGATGTTTTTGTATCAACTTATGATATTATTTACAGGAAGGTTCTGATTCAATATGTTTTGGATAAATCCTAACATCTAAAATCTTCGAATTTCGATGACACCCGAATTTTCTTGCTAACGAGGATATGACCACTCATGAGTCTGCGGACGCATCGCTTTTAAAAACCTTGCGTTCCAAATAATTTTGCTGCGTCCAGTACGCAGGTTCTTGCGTTAATGAGAACCCTGTCAGACACACGCACCACTTATCATAATTGCATATACAAAATATCTATATGAATATTGAAAAATATTTTGCGATTGTAATTTTTGCGGATTTGTCCTATCCGCAAAATTCCGCAAAAATTGGACAACGGCAGAAAATACCTGTTATACGGTATGTACATTTGAAAAATTCATTATCTTCTTAATTACCTACAAGTATTTTATCTATGATAAGGCTCTGATCACAGTTTTAGAAATTACCTCAACATTAAGCATACAACTTTCTAATATACTCTATCTCCTTTTTATTTCGTCAATATTTTTTTTTTCATCTCTCTCCCCATCCCCGCTTTGTTTCCCGAACGGCTGCTCGCAATAAAACAAGGCTTTTCGTAAAGAAACTGGCGTTTTCAAGATACGATATTCACCATAGAAATTTAAAATGAAATTAATTATATTATGCAGTATGCACATTTGAAAAAAAAAAAACATTATCTTTTTAATTACATAAAAGTAATTTATCTTTAATAAAGCCCTGATCACAGTTTCAGAAATCACCTTAACAATAAGCATGCAACTTATAATATACTCTGTCACTTTTCATTTCGTCAGTCGGCTAGTCGCAAATATGGCGTTGGACATTGTAGTGGAATGACAGGAAGTTTTAGCGGGAAATTTGTGACATTTTAACGGAAGATTAGTAGGACATTTTAGCGGAATTTAAAATAGGATGTGGACATTTTAGCGGGAGAGTTAAGATAAATATATATACTATAGTCAGGTTAAGTCTGAAGCCCCTTTCTCACAAACGGGGAGGTGGAAATAGGATTTTGAGGATACAGTTAATCTTAATACAGTTAATATCGAAAACTATCAGATCTGAAACGAGATTTGGAGTTTTTCACAGATCGAGCATATAGTAATTGATTCATCAACTCTACATTGCAACCTGGCACGAACAATACTCCCCCCCCCCTCTAGGGATAAGTTTCGCCAAAAAATCCGTATCGCGATATATCACGATTTTCTCCCAAAATCACAATAATATGATATTTTTACAAGCAATTTTTACAATGATTTTAAGTGAATATTCATAATTTTTCCGAAAAATATGCTGGGAAAACATACTTTCATTTCTTTATTTACATAATATCAAGCAATTCTGGATGGCATTCTTTTACCGTTTTCAACAATTTTTTTTACACTTCTTCTAATTGTAATTTGAAAGATTGAACAAATAAATGAATAATTTCTGGAATTTATAACTATGTACCTAAATACCGGTATTTTACTCTCCGTATCACGCAATTAAAAATCACGATATACCGTTATACCGATAAAATCGCACATCTCTAACCCCCCCCCCCCCCCCTCGATTCGTTTCTACCTTCACCACTTCCATTCTCTTCAGTATTTGAATTACAGGTGGCTATGTACAAGTATTTAACCTGCATGAATATGTATGTGTTAGTGACTTTTTTTTCAAATGAAGATTTCTTATCTTTACCATGGAAACCTTTAACAGAGTTGGAAACTTGGTCATTGATCTGCTGACGTTGATCAATATTTGCTGACTTTACATTGATTAATTTAAAAAAAATAAAATATCTCGGGAAAAAATCCTCTAAAATGTCCGTTGAATTTTCTGCTAAAATATCCACTAAAGTTCCCGCTTAAATGTCTAGTAACAGCTTTAGAAAAACCACTAAATTGTACTATGCCTCCCCCCACCAAAAAAATAAACACGTAATTATGTAGAGCAGTTGATAGGCCCTCGGGGAGGGGGGGGGGGGTGATACAGTTTATCTAGGCAAGATTAATTAAGAACATTAAATCATTAAATTCATCAAAATAAATTGGTGAATGAAATTAAGTCTATATATATTTTTCTAATTAGAATCCGAATTATTTCTGTCTAAATGTGCGTAAGTATTATCAAAATTAAATCTGTATCTATTTAAATTTCTAATTTAAATTAATGTATTATTTTTAGATATTTTTTAAAACATAATCTTTTTTCATAAAATTGGTTAGGACAACTCGCTGTCCTTGTTATACATGTACAATGACACAGCTAGAATATATTGTTGAAGTTTGGTCTGGATGCGCAAAGGTAGACACTGAAAAGCTTGAAAAAGTTCACTTATTTGCTGCAAGAAAAGTTACTGGGCTTACAATTATTGCTTCGAGAAATTCATAATACTTGGAAACAGGATGGGAACCTTTGGAACACAGAAGGAACAGAGCTAACCTAATAACATCTTTCACCTTATCTAGTCTAGTGGTTCATGAGAAGAAAATTTTTAAAGATTTTTCTTACATATTTCAATGTAAAACTTTCATCCCCTATTGTGGCCACATCCTAACCCTGGGGGTCATGATTTGTACAATTTAGAATCTACACTTTCTCAGAAAGCTTCCACATAAGTTTCATCTTTTTTGGCCCAGTGGTTCTTGAGAAAAATTTTTTAATGACCCCACCCTGTATTTCACCTTGGAAGCGGGCATGTCATTTGAACAATTTAGAATCTTCTAAACCCAAGAATGTATTGAGCCAATTTTGATTAAAATTGGCCTGCTGGTTCTTGAGAAGAAGTAAAAAATGTGAAAAGTTTACAGACGGATCGTTTGAGGACAGACAGAAAGACATATCAATACCCCCCCCCCCCCTCAATCTTGCAATATATATTTTTTGTTCTTATGCACTTGCCTCATATTAATTTATTACTTTCGTAAATTTCACTTTGTTTTTTTCAATAACATGGCACCCATGTGCACAAATTTAACAATGAAAACTTCATTAATAAAGTATATTGAATAACTTTCTTTACTGAACAATTTTAAAGATGTGCAATACACAAAATAAACATATATTGAAGGTAAAAGTGTTGGATAAATTAATCTTGCTATTAGTTTTGTATGCATATACATGTATATTGGAAAATTGATTTTACACATGAAAAGTACAAAACATAAATTTGTTTGCATTTTGATCTTATCAAATTATCAAAACATAGGTAATCAAAGATTACAATGCTCACCTCGACAAATGTTATCTACCAGTAAGGCAAATTTCAATTCAAATTTTTTTTTCTAGTTAGTGTACATCCCAAGATCAATATCCATGCAAGTTTCATTTAAGTAGGACTTAGAGTTACTTGGAAATAAACCTGCTCAAAAAACTCTTAACCTGTTTACTAATCAAGAAAATTTTGGTCCAACATCCAAAGCAAGTCTGGAAGTTTTCATCCTTAGATGCACCATCTATGCAAGTTTAATCATAACAAGCCTTAATATTATATAGTTACACCAAAAAAATTACCCTGGTCACTCATCTGGAAAATGTAGGTAAGATTCAGAATCCAAAGCAAGTCTGGAAGTGTCCATCCTAGATACATCATCCATGCTAATTTGGTTAAAATATGGCTAAAATTCACTTATGTGGAAAATCTAGGCCGGATCCAGCATCCGAAGCAGGTTGGTTAGTGTACATCCCTAGATGCATCATCCATGAAAGTTTGGTCCAGGTAGGGCTTATAGTTACTTGTGAATGGACCTGCTCCAAAATCTTAACCTGGTCACTCATGTGGAAAATCAAGGTCAGATCCAGCATCTGAAGCAATTGTGGTAGTGTCCATCCCTGGATGCATCATCCATGCAAGTTTGGTCAAGGTAGGGCTTAAAGTTACCTGAGAACGGACCTGCTCCAAAAACTTTAACCTGGTCACTCATCTGGAAAATCTAGTCAGATCCAGCATCCGAAGCAAGTGTGGTAGTGTCCATCCCTAGATGCATCATCCATGCAAGTTTGGTCCAGGTAGGGCTTATAGTTACTTGGGAATGGACTTGCTCCTAAAACCGAGACGCCGACACCAACGTAAACACCAGTGGTAAAGCATAAGCTCATCTCGACTTCGTCAAGGTGAGCTAATAAAAATGTAAATTTATATAAATATAGCACATTTTCAGAATTTTAATGTCTTGGTGACTTAAAATAAATTGAAATTATAGCAGAAAATCATCTACATGTATTACAGGTTTAGTTGTAAAGAATGAGAATAAAATCTTCACAATCTTCAAACATTTGCATAAAAAACCAAATGTACTTTATGTCAATTTCACTAAAAAGATTTGACATTCAAAGAAATTTTACTTCCATTTATTTCACAAGAATTCTACTATGTGAATTTCAAACATGAATTTCATGTGAAAAAAAAACACTTGACATAGGCAAAGGTGTCTTTATATTTCATATACACTAAACTGTTATGAAAATAAGGGTAAAAAATGTACAAGAAAAAAATCCTACAAGTAATGGAAGTCTTCCTTTAAATCAGAGCAAAGACATTTCCTTTCTTTAAGTTATATGTATATTGGCAGAAAACCCCTCAAACTATTATAATGTTATGATTTTAACCAAAAAATTGCACATCAGAAAGAACATCACATTGAAATATCTTTTGATGGAGCATTCAAAACAATGTTTTGAAATATATGTATGAAAAGACAAAATTCAACGTCATCCACATATCTTGAATTGGATGATGTCCCAAGGGTCATATATAACATGACCTTAGGACGAGGTTAAATATCAGTGTTTGAGATGTGTCATTCAAGCTACATTATATATTTAACCTGAGGTGGAACTAAAATGGATGTGCATTACTGGATTTCTAACATTTCATGTTACCATGTATATAAACAGTACAAACATTGCATATTTGTATAAAACAAAGTATACGGATACAATAAAAATATTTATCTGAACATCTGCCTTCAAGTTTATAAGGAAAGAACTGATATAACTGTAGTGGTATGTGAATATACAATATAGAGTGTATATCGGTGGAATTCTATAATACTGTGAAATATGAATATAACAGTGGGAGATTTGCTTAACGACTGAGAAAATAAAAATTTACAACCCAAAACATACATGTAAATACCGGTAACTGTTTTAACATCTGTTGTGAAACAAAAAATTGGCACATTCAGAACTGACTTTTTAACAGTTTACAATCCATACTACCCGGTATTTACTTTTCTACTTTAGCAATTTGATCAGTTTTTCTATTATCTTCAAACACATTTGTATCTGAACTGTATTCCGTGATTTCCAAATCTGGGACACAAATTTTATTAGCATCTGTATCAACACAACAGTCTTTTCTTTCGGATGCACCCATACCACACCGGGACTTATTCATTTCAGGACTTTTGGAATAAATGAAGTCATTCTTATCCTCTATGGTATTTTCCAAGTTTCTTTTTGCATCATCTGAGTTGACAAAATCCCTGGAACATTTCTCATTGTCTTTATTTGTCTTGGTAGTTTCTAGTGATTCAGTAGTTGGCCTAGGAGGACTAGAGGGTTCAGGAGCACTATCCTTGGTTGGGGACTCCACAGATGGGGTGTCTTTGAATTCACGAGATTCCCTCTTTGTTGAGTTACGCCTAGAAACACCCTCTCTTCTGGCCGATGGAGCTTTTAGCATTCCCTTTGTTTTGATTAGTTCTTCGTCAAGGGGGTTAACTCTGTTTACTGCAGTAAGAGTTTCTCTTTCTTCCTCAGCCATTCGTATAGCATCAACTCTGAAAAAAAGATACAAAATTACTCAGGCTCAAAAATTCAAAATATAACCTTTCTAAAATTCCTCCTACATATATAATTGTCATTATTTATTTTTCTTCACATATATTGCAATATTGTATTTTTAACAAATCTGATGATTACTGAAAAAATTTTGAAACTCTATACACAAGTTCTTCTGTACCTGTGTTGTGAATCTGGCTGCATGGTATTGATTTCCTCAAACATGGCCGCTATGCTGCTGTCATGGTCTCTCTCCTGACTGCACTGTGTCAGTCTACAGATATTATAAAATAAAAAGTTCAGTTCAAAACTGATGTTTATAAAAATGAATTTATGTTTTTGACTGCTGTCCAAAAATATAGAAATAAAAGTGGGAGGGGTGGATTTTTCAGTATATGCAGGGTTGTCCCTAACATCCGGGGGCTGGGGAATTTCCCTGTCTATAATGACGTAATCCCCTGGCTATTTCGTATTCCCCTTCAACCCCCGTTAGGTGATTAACCCAAAACCCCCGTCTACCTTTTCAATGTCCCCTGCTATTTCATTTCTTAGGGGCAACTCTGATATGGAGCTTGTACGCAGGGAAATAATACCACAGTATTTCTATATCAATGAAAAAATAGTAAAATGTGCATAAAGTTTATGTTAATGTTTTATTTTAGCAGTTATCATATTTCATTACCTTTGGCACTCCTTCTTGCCTGCTAATTTGAGTATATGCTTATGTACTAATGCATGTTGTCATTATAACTTTAGTGCGCTAATTTATGATTGTACTAATCAGTTGAAGAGGATGATTGTGCTAAATTTTGAGTGCATTAATTTATTTTTCATCTTACAGTAATGTACAATACTAGATATAAGCTTTTATATTTACTTTGGAGCCAGTCTCTCTGTGACAGAAGAAATGGACTTCACAAAAGAGTTGAGCTGAGTCAGAATTGTGTTCATATGTCCAGTTTCTTGCTTGAGTCTCAGAACATCATTCAACTGACCTACATGTAAGTATAAGAACTTGATGAGAGAAAATAATATTTCAGTGAAAAAAATAGTTTTCTTGGTAAACAAAATTACAGAATACATACACTTCTTTTGAAAAGCAAAAAAATTCATGAGTGACAAGAAACTTATTTATAAGCCACAAATATCTTTTACAAATTACCTTTGTAAACTTCTTGTTCTGTGGCAATTTTCTTCAGAACATCTTCCCAATGCTGTTAAGAGTGAAATATTATTTATATTCATAAAATTAATGAGTGATTATTTTGATTCTTAGTCATTTCTTATAATTATCGAATCTTGGAAATGTCTCTCTAAATAAACAGAGAAATTCTGATACATATTTTTTTTTCTACAAGGAAATTCTCTTTTAGAAAAATGTACATTTCCATATCCCCGAATAATTTTCACTGACGACATTTTTTTGCATACTTTCTCCCACATAAATTTTTCTTAAGCTGCAGGAAGATTCTCCATTTAAAAATTACAACATCCTTAACCCTTTTCCTGATCATTTTCGCAGAGCATCAATTTTTACATACTTTCTCCAGCGTCGGTTGTTTTTTCTCAGTCAGTAGAAATAAATCGTCCAAATCTTTCTGAAGATCAGTTATCTCCTCCCTCAGATCCTGTACGGAGGACAACTTGATCAGGCATCGACGCAGCGTGAGGTCTCTCTGAAGCTCTTGGACGTCAAACTTCAACTTGTCTATGCGTTGACACACAAGCTACTCATTTTAAAAAAAATTCCATGTAATAAATTCTTACCAATATTTTACAGATATAGAGAAAATTCTTCATTGAGAGAATTCATGTTGCCATCTGTCACTAATATCGAATCATTTGTAAATATGACTTTTCAACATATAACCTTATTTCGGTAGAGGTAAATGTATTCATTTTTGTTTGCAATTTTAACTCCTTCAAATATAGAGAAAATAAGACTAACATATTTCATAATTCTTAAAAAATTTCACAAATGAAATACTTTATGAGAGGCTTTGAATTAAAAAAAAATTCACAAATGAAATACTTTATGAGAGGCTTCAAATTCTCCACAGTGCTCTGCAAAGGTGCTCTTTGTATCTGTGAAGGATATTTTTGGCAGGGTGTAACCGCGGCGACCAAACTGAACAGATCCACCACTGAAGTGCTGCCGCGAATTCAAGGTGTGGGTGGTCATTGTGGTGGACATAGGAAGGGTACTAAAAATTCAAAATTATGAGAGCTCATTTTCTGTCTTTTGATATCAATACTTTTATGTGCTAATGCGTCTTGATATACTCTTCACATAAAGTTAAATATGTTGAAATATATCCATTCAAATGAAAATCACCTCAACCACAAGTATATCCAATACTCTATTCTACGTGTACTTAGGTAAAGATATAGTTACTGTGTTATGCTTACAAATGCACTGATGGTTTAAATTGATGCCCAAACATTTATTTTCCAGATAATAGCAACTAAATGCCAGAGGAGTTTTCACTTTACATTTTTCCTAAAAAAAATCTTTCCTCCATTTCAGTTCACAATTAGGTCAAAAGAGGTACTTTTTTATATTCCTACCTAGGAATGCTGGAGGTAGAATCAGTGAGGGGGGATGCAGTGGGGATGTTACTCAGTGGAGCCGGAGATCTGGAGGGAAACAACAGGGGCTCCAAGCACCTGAATAAATTAATCCACTCAATCAAAATAAAAGCACATTAATTATCATAATAAAATCTTCACAATACTTTAGCTGTGGTTAAATTCCTTCAATGATTAAAAAAAATTGTTGAAAATTAAAACTGTATACACTATCTTGTGTCCATATTGGGATCTTACTTGGAGTAGTGAACTTTATAGTCTGTACAAATCTGTCCACTCTGTGAGGGGTGAAGGGGGTGCTGCTGATTAATTATGGATTTCAAACGATCCATCAAAATCTAAAAATTAAAAAAAAAAATTAGTACCTGGTTATATAAATTCCATACTTAATGTTAAAAATTAATCACTTCAGTGTGAATGAGGGTATTTAGCAGCATGAAATCTTGTGAAACATTAAGACTCCAGTGGTGGCCAAATCCATTCCCCTCAGATCCACCTCATAAAACATTGAATCTAAAATTGAAAAGATACACATGTACAACAACTTAATTTCAAAATTCTGATCTAAGAATGCTTACATATGCCAAATCTAAGAACTCAAATCTATTGGCTGAGCTGGTGAAGGCTGAACATGTGACCAGATGAGTATGTAGAGTAGGTAATAGGGTGCTAAGGGTAGATAACTCCTTCTTAAATGCCTTCTCTTTCTCTTGGTACTGCCTGAAAAATAAATACCGAAATGCATCAGATTTTATTCTATTAACTACTGAAGAAGTCTATATCTTTTCCCCTGTACATACCACAGGTGCTTATCAATATTTTTTCATAAGTTCTTTTTCTAACACATATTTACAATGTAAAATCCAAAAATATATAACAAATAAAGTTTCTCTAAAAATTATAAAACTGATAAAGTACATGTAAGTCAACAAAAGTACACGCATGATAGAACATTTATGAATAAGAATACAACAGCTTAGTACCTGTCAACCTCTTTCAGAAGTTCCGTTTTCATTTCCGTGATCTTTTCCATCATGAGGTCGAACAGATCCGTAATGGCTTTCTTTTCATCCTCTGAGCTTTGCTGTATTTCAGTGAGAAGGGCCTTCAGAAGGAATATTGTGTCCCTGGCTGAATTCTGAAGTTCTCTGACAGCCTGCAAATGTATGATTTACTGTGGATCACGAAATTTTTCGCAACACTTTATCTTCACAAGACATCTATTTGGTATTCATACACGACATAAAATTTTAAAAATTTCCAGTTATTGTTGTCTGTAATCTTGATGAAAAAAAATACAAAGGAGAAAAAAATATTTGCAAGCAGATAGTCTCTCACACAATGTAATTACACGAAAATAATGTTCTTGTGAATGAAAATTGATTTACTGCATTCAACATTGACACAAGTGATTATTTCTGGAGAGGCATAATCGCCCTCCTCAGTCAATATCCCCACCCGCAATCACAAGAAATCTGAAATTTTTCCTGTTACTTTCTTAATGTATGTACAGAATAAAGTTTGCGCCTTTTTTTATAAACTGGTTCATGGTTTATAAAGTGTAAGCTGCCCAAAGCCAGGTTATATGCTTATAACTTGGGTAACTTTTAAATTCATTTCTCATACACGTACCTGCATTCTTTGGTCAAGTTTCTTACATCCCTGTGTGTAAGCTGTTTCTAGATCCATACAGTGAGACCGACTTTCCCTGTCAAACATCACACATGCAAATAAATCTTCCAAATAACCACATGGCTAAGAATACATGTATCTACTTTAATATAGGTTTAAACTTTTACATTTTCATGTCCCTGAAGCAGTTTATACACAGCATGGCTTTCTTCTCAGTTGAAAACAAGATGTATGGCTCCCTATGAGTTACTGCAAAAAAATTAAACTATTCTCATTGCGATCTCTCAAAAATATCTTCTTGAACTACATTAATTAAACTTTTTTCATGACAATTATTTTTGTGCAGCTTATTGAGGATAGATTTGCTACCTCAAACATTTCAGGGTACATTTGGATAAATTATGTGATTCTATAAAACTGCATGTGTGTTGTAAATAACAATGGTACATATATTACAGTAAAACCTCCTTAACTCAAACTTGAAGGTGTTTAATACATAGAGAAAAAGGATCTGGGACTTCCAAATGACTTTGTAATATCCATAGTATTTGAGATATTGCTGTTGCGAGACACAGACGTTCAACTGTACTACAGTGTATGTATTTCTTGTATAAAACATTTTCCTATCAAAGAATATACCAGCATTGCAAGGAGTCTTACAACATTCACGGTGAACTTCTTTTGTCCTTTTGGATAGATTTATCACGTCGTGACTGGCAAACATTTTGGCTTTGTGAGTTTCTGTACGACATGTCAGACAAAGTGCTTGGGAGCATGTATTGCAGAAAAACATTTCTGATGAAACCTGTAAAACAAAATACAAGTTGGTAAAAACAAAGAAACATGCAAGAATATATTACTGTAGAATTAAAACTTAGAGGGACTGGAGAGTAACTTGCTCTCATATGTTCAAAGATACACTTTTTTTTCAATTGACCATCCATTGCATTGACATATCTCATGTACAATAAGATATATTTATTATTTCATCAAATATCAAGTAATCTGTCAGAATTTAGACAAGTAAAAAGGCCAGGGAGTAACATAAAACATATTTTAAAGTATGTTGGCAAGCATGGGTCATTCTTTTATCTGAGACAATTAAATGATAATTTAGCAAGATCAATGTAAAACCTCATCACAATTGGCACATGGTTCCATGTCTTCTCGTGAACTTTGATCCACCAGGAATTTCATCAGGTGATCTGGAGAAGGTAAGGATTCTGAATCCTTCAGATTTGTTACACACCTGGAAAATACATCACAAATTGTCAGCTTTACGCTTCACATTACTACAGATTACCTATCTGTCTATATAGTTATATTTCTTGTAATTTTTAAAAGATATTGGCTGTACATAGTAAGCTGATTAAAATTCAAATCCCTTAAAGAATGGAGGCATACAAGATGGGGACAATCCCTCTCTCTGAAACAAGATATTTTTCAATTCTAAAAGTTCAAGAAAAGTTATTTTCAACTTTTTCATTCATCTGTTTTTGACATGTTTATGATATATTCCATTCTAAAAATTCAAAAACTTGTTTAAAAAATCATTTCTGTACACATATACAAATAACCAATACACTGTATAACACTGAATTCATTAAGTATGAAAGATAACAAAGATTTTGTTTTAACTCCCCTCAAGCCATTCTGCTAAATTGAAAAATGTGACATGTTTGAATTACACCTGGTTTGAAATGATGGCTTTCTGTAGAAAAAAATAAAACAACTTATCTCTTACTCTTACTCACCCACATAGTGGACAACTAAGTTTATTCTCACTGGCACGGCCTCTCAAACACTGGGAGCAGTAACTATGGTAACATGACAATATACAAGGGTCGTCATATTTCTCATTACAAAGGTAACACTGCAAGGGATTCCACTTGGTCACATCGATACTGGTGTTGTTCTCCAGAGACTGAAATATGTCACCCGACATCTTCATTGACCCAGAGACATGTATCCGACCCAGATATAGAGATTTTCAGCTCTGTCATTGAAATTGGGTCAGTTTACTGATTACTGCCATCTACAAATAAAAATATCCCTCAAAGATTTTGTAAAATATTTATACATAATTATATTTGTAGCACATATTCAATGCACAGTATATCAAGTAAGCAACTGCATTTACTTTTATATCTAAACTAATATGGTCCATATCTGTTTACATACACAGTCAAACCTCATTATCTCGAACTTGATGGGACCGAGAAAAAACCTAAATCGAGATATCCAAGGGTTCGAGGTATCGACTGCAAAATACTTAATACGTGGTTAGGACTTCCCTGTCACTTTGACATATCCATGGTATTCACTATTCAAGATATTCGTGTTCGAGATACCGAAGTTGAACTGTATACTTCTGAATCAGTACAAAAAATATGTGGGGGAAAAAAATGGGTTTTTTTCTCCATTTTCAGTGATTCTGGTTGTTACAAATTTAAAACTTTGACATGTTTGAGAGAAAAAGAAATTTGATTTAATCAGTTTGCAGTTTAGCAACATTGAAAACTGAATGGTCTTCATTGAAGACAATCAAGAGCCCTCCATAACTACTTATAGCAGCCTATGCATACTTATGACAGTGTATACATGATTGTAATCCATTAACTTTTTTTTTAAGAATTGCTAAAAACCCACAATCACATTGAGAAACTTTCACTCCTTAGACCTACAAAACAGAACGAGTAACTGAAATAATGTCTCTGCTGAAAAATTTAAAAAATGAATTAATAAAGGTAAACATGTCAGAGGCGTGTTTGTTGTTATCGCTAAGCTTTTCCGAATAAAACTGAAAAATTATTCTGTTTCTTGGTCTCGATGTAGATTAAAAAAAACTACCAAAATGACAAGATTAATTCTTTTTAACACCTTCATTCAACGGAGCATACCTCTTTGATTTTTTTTCTCGTCGGTCATTCATAAATGGGCATGTAACATGAAGACTTCTGTGAATTCCGAACCCGATGTTATATCGACTTGCCGCAACCGCGTAACTATTTTTAAAAAACCATGTAAATTATATCAACTTATATTAGCATAAATTTGTTAAGAACTATTACTTCTCAAATTTCACTGATGGTAAAATTGTAAAACCATATTGCAGGTCTACATTGTGTTATAACATAAACTACAGTTTATCTGTTATCATGCATGTTATTAAAATTCATATAGTTAGTGTCACTTTCATTCATATATTAAAAGTATAGCAAATGAAAATTTTAAAATTATCATAAAATTTGACATTGTACATATTTTTAGAATTTCATTGTTTAACACCTTCTTTTTAAAATATTAGATTTTGTTTAAAGGGCTAAAAATATGTGTTGTACTTCACAGGCCTTTTTTCTTTTTTCAACTCCTAGAACATGTGTAAATCAATCAATACAAACTTGAAAACTATCAATGAAACATATTTCTTCAGAAAATAGCTAATTGACTTCATTTGCTTGTTTTGATACACGGTAAAAGTCTATATTTTAAGAAAAAATAAATCACGCACATTACTATTTTTATGAAAATAGTTACTACTGTAAATACTGTATGAACAGTAGACCTCGGTTGTACAATGTGCAGGTGTAAGTACATCAGTTACACCATTTTGTAAAGTTGAAGATCAAAACCATTTTAGACGTGGAATCAAATTCACACTGCACTGCTACTTATGCAGTATCATATTTAAAAGTTTACAATAATTCTATTATTGATAATTATGTAATTCAAATAAAATACCATTATCGGTGACGTCACTCGAGTAGGGACTTACCTTAATTAACTTTTCGAATTTTAAAGGAAATTTTAAATAATCAATATACATTTGTTTTATATATATCATCAGTAAGTTAAAAAATGATTCTGGCGCTATTCTCTATAGCTATTTTCATGTACCACTTTGTTTTCAACCCTTTATAAATGAAGTTATAAACGGTAAAACGGTCTACAGGTGTCCACCTCACTCCCCAAATTTTGAAATACGTACATGTATATCAAACAATAGAAAACAAAGCCAATTTTCAGTGTGCTTCCTCAAGAATTATATTGATGACAATTTTTCTTTTTGATATATTTATATATATTTTTAATTTCTTTTATTTCCTTTTCAAGAAATATTGCAACCCACAACTGAAATTGCTTCCTACTATCTATATACTAATATATATATATATATATATATATATATATATATATATATATATATATATATATATATATATATATATACCTCGGAAGTTTTGTACTCTGACCAGGTAAACACATAGAATAACACAAAACAAACGTCATTTCTTTTAATGAAGACAACAGTGATATACATATATCTCTGAAATACCAGATAACAACAAACACTTTGTAGTTTTGGCGAATATGATATAAATATGGAATAGTCGTACATTAATTCTTGAACGCATAGATAGATATTAAGACAAAGACATTCTACATTTACAGTCTAGATACGTTAAGTTCTACCCTCTATATACTAAATGTCTAGAGACATCTACCCTAAAAGAACCCACGAACATGTGTAACCGATCTGATTCTATTGTGAATACTATAGAAAGCGTATGTACGCAATATCTATATAAGATTTATATATTTCTTACAATTTCCATGTCTTTCATTATTAATTTTTTTTTTCATACCAAGGTTGTAACACAAGCTTATAATAGTGGTTTACCATTTACTTCTTTTAAAATATTTGATTTGAGGAACAGACTAAAAAAAACATTTATTCGCCTGTAGAAATTAAAAAGAAAAAGTCTTCAAGACACATTTTTCATATTCACACTCACTGGTCCCTCATAAAGAATATTTATTACTGCATGAGGTTTCCCCCTGCATTTAAAGTACAACTCTCCAATTCGCTTTATAATGTAATAAAACTCTTGTCCTATCTATTGCACAAAAATAAATTACATGTAAATTATTGTGGACTGAAAAAGAGAAAATTCCAAAACGGAAACCAAGCAAAAGTTTCATATATCCTAATTATCAGAGTAATACGAGAAATTTTGTAATTTTTTTCAAACAGCAGTGACATTTTCTGTAATTGTTTTTGGGCTAAAAAGTGAAAACTCCCGATCGAAAACCAAGCAAAAGTTTCATATATCCTTATTATCAGAGTAATATGAGAAACTTTGCAATTTTGTTCACACAGCAGCCTGCAGTTGTGTTTGGATGTTTTTCTTCAGCAGCCGAGGAAAAAAAAACTGAATGATTCCTCGATGCCAATTCTGAACCTACTCGATCGCCACGTACCCTGTTACAGTACTTAATTCTCACGGCTATTTGGTTATATAAAACATTAGAACATATTAGGTTATCATAATTCACCGACGCCTATATGAACTTCCTCGCCTTCGGCGCGTTTGGGCTGTTGTTGTACAATTTCCTCCTCCATTTTGCTGATGGTGCTACATGAAATACTGGCGTCCCCCGTGTATCCCACGATTTCTCCGTACTGGGGCGTCTCTCGCTCCCGGCTATGCCACACACCATATAGAAAGTACACCAGCAAACCTACAGTTAAAACAGAGAAAGGGATTAAAATATCAGTGAAGTGGTAGAATTAGATACATCCGGCAAAAGTTAAAAGTTTTCATCAAAATAATTGATTTTTTACGGAATAATGTTCATTACCGGAGTTCGTGACCGAACTCCATTGTCAGATTTCTAATCCAAGTTTTTCTATCCTGGGAATTTCCTAGCCTGTCATTGATTTATCATGAAATTTAGAAGCTTTGTCATTACAGAAGTACAATGATAATTTAATGCGACTGATGCTTTACCTATTACCAGCCATATTGCCAGTCGTATCCACGTTAAATAGTTTAGCTTCATCATTAGAGTGATGTTGCAAAAAATGCTGAGACAGGGGATTAATGGTACAAATGGAATCTACAAAGAGAATATATGGTAATACATGTACACAATACCAGTAGTATAATCATCAAAACAGTATATAAGAAAAGCAGTTCTAGCTCTTTAGTGTAGTCAAGAGATTTAGACATTGTATGATGTTTTAATCGACGTTTATCATCAAGTCCGTATATAACTATCGATATTAATTTGTGAGGAGCTGAAGTTCATTTACCACCATATTACATAGACATTGGCACTTCCACCGTAAAATATCAATAGGCCATAATGATGAGATGCTCTTATTTATAGACAAAAGAAATATGAGTAGCTATCATAATGACCAACTCTGATAATTTTTATTACCTGAAAAGTTAGGAAGGCGTCATTCTTTTCATGAGCGATCAATATCAGAAAACACAAGACGATTATTGCACCAAAAATGATCTCCAGAATGATTGCCCACCAAGCACCATCTGCCAAATATTGATATCCGGGCACCAGAACGGCACAAAAACAAATTATTGCCACCACCATCAGTAAGATTGCTAAAATAGTTGCATTTCCAGGATCAAATGATTTTAATATTGGTAAATGTCTTAAATGATCCTTCAGTTTGCCAAAATCGTCATGACTTTTGGATTTCTTCATGATTGCGCTTTCTTCACTGACGCTGGTGTTGTCATCCGTTGTTTCTTCTTGGGGTTTAAGTTTGAATTGACATTTGTGAACCGGTGCGTATCTTAAGATGATAACAGAAACGGCGACAATGGTATACGCTAAGATAGTTCCGATGGACATGAACTCTACCAGAGTTTCTATTTCAAACAGAAGAGCCATCAGAGCTGAAAGCAAACCAAAGCAGAAGATTCCCCAGATCGGGGTTTGGGTTTTTGGATGAACGTAGGCAAAGACCTGGAAGAGCAAGCCATCTGCTGCCATGGAATAGACGGCTCTTGGTAGAGAGAAAGCGCCGCCTAGTAGAGAGGTGGTGATTCCAAATAATGTGCCCAAGGCAACGACATATTTTGCCCATTGTGCACCTTGTGCTGCGAACGCAAATGGGAAGGCTGCATTTGGATCTACGTCTGTATAAGGGACCATCAAGGTTAAAACACACGTCACTAGTACGTATAAAACAGTGACTGTGCCCAAAGACAAAATAGTTGCTATGGGAATGGATTTCTCGGGGTTTTTGGCTTCTTCACCAGCGGTTGCAACGCCTTCAAATCCGATGTAGGCGTAGAAGCATGTGGCTGCTCCTGCCCATGCGCCACCGAATCCGTGTGGGAAAAATCCGCCATGCTCCGTCCAATTCTTCAGATCGGCGTAATAGAACCCCATTGAAATAATTATCACTATGACTATTAAATTGATTATTGTGAATATATTGTTAAAGTTCATGGCAAATTTGGCGCCTGTTGCCACCACAAGAAAAACTACGACTGTTGCCGCAAACGCCACAAAGTCTGGATAATCCGACAACCACACGTTATCATGACTTAAATATCCTATATGCTTTAGAGTAGAATTTTTTATTGCACCATTGAATATTGAGTCCAAGCCACCACTCCATGCCCTAGCAACGGAAGAAGCGCCAAGAAGATGTTCAAGTAAAATATTCCAACCGATAATAAATCCCCATACTTCTCCTAGCGTCACGTAAGTGTACGAATAGGCGGATCCAGCTTTTGGTACTCTAGCCCCAAACTCGGCATAACACAAGGCGGCTAAAATAGCAGCACACGCCGCGAACACATAGGAGAGTATAGCGGCGGGTCCCGCAAGGTCTTTGACCACAGTTCCTGTTAGTACATAGATCCCTGCCCCTATCATGTGTCCTATTCCAAGGAGGGTGAGGTCGAGAGTGCTGAGACATCGTTTTAGTGGGGTCTCGTGGAAATCTTCAGTGACCGTTTTCTTACGATTTAAGGTCACCCATACCTCATTTAGTTTGGAAGACACTCCCATCCTTGCGAGTCATATACTGAAACAACAAAAACCTTTTCTCATTTATGTGATAAAATGAGTGTATCTACATACGATATACATGTAAATGAATATCTATCAAATGTAACATATGTCACAGCGTGGTCTATATAGACTGGCATTTCTTTAGTCCAAATAGAATATTATACATTCAAGCGGATATTCAAAAAATTAACTGTTTTTTTTTTTATCTCAATGAACAGTGACATAATTTCTATTACCATCTTTTTAAACATTTACTATATTCATTTTACTTCGTAATTCAGCAAAACTAGTTAAAGTCCGACCACCACAGACCATAAAAACCATATGTTACCACTGAGGCTTGAATTTCCCACGTAGTATAATAATAAAAAGCCAACTTTTTTTTTAACAATTGCCATACTTACAACATGTACAACATTTGATGACTTACCGACTACAGTTACCCGTGACTATGATAAAACACTGAATCCATCTGTCAGTTGTTTAACCACCCTTTTCATGGCAACAATTTTTCGATAAATTATGCTGTCTGTCAGAGATCGATAAGTCCCTATAGAAGAAGAGAAATAGAGATCGATTTATATCTCAAGCTAATGTATAATCACATTCAGGCTAGAATCTCGCGAGATATGCATGTGACTAAAAACAAAACTCTTGTGACAGAGGATCTTTGCATTTTTTCTCACAAAATCAGTCCACAACTACCCTTTAAATGTCACTAGATTCTTATAGTTCAATAATACAACCGATAATCACGTTATTTTCGTCATTTATAGTTCCAGCTTGTCCAATCAATAGGCAATGCACAGAAAAATCTGGCATTGAAGAAGCAGATATATAGCATTACTTCGTAATGTCTCTTTAACTCGAGAATTTTATGCCTTCATAAAATAATCTAGCTATGACATTATCACAATAAAATTGTAAGTTGTTTTGAAATTGAAACAAATTGCTGATTCAATTATATCACAGCATTTTACACATGTATAGCTCTGTTATCAGACTACTAAATTATTATAAGCAGCATCATTTTGTCAAATAGCAAAAAAAAAGTTTATTTGTGTAAGTTCTTTTTTTTAATGTTATCTGACTCAGTTGTTTGTGTTTGCTAATACCATAGTAATTCCAGGGACTGGTAAATCGTGCTTATAAGGAAGTAATATTTTACAAGTTTTGTTTCTCTTCTTTCTTTCCTTTTCTTTCTTTTTTTCTTTCTCTCTGTGTAATTAAATGTAAACTGCATAAAAACTTCGATTTTTTTCTTTATAGCTAACCTCACTTCCGACGTTGTGATATTGATTACTGGTGATAATTTTACTTTTAGATTCATTTCAAATACTTTGAATTAGATTCGTAAAATTACTGTATACTTTAAATATTTGTTCTGCTGAGACAAATTGAAATAAACTTTTTCAATTCTGGAATTTTTATTCCATGTATTCATGATCTGAAACAATGAAAGAGAAAGAAAAAATATATAATTTAGAGAGCACATTGCCGCTGAAAATATGACAGACTTTTGGGGATTTTTCATAGACTTTAATAAAAAAAAAAATAATAAGTCCCTGAAAACTTATGATGTATAATTAAACTTTTCTTCATATTTTTCGGAAAGACTATCAAAGCTACAACGCATTGAAATATGAAAAGAAAACGGTGGATTGGCAGGCAAAGAAAACAAATGCTTATTTTGATGAACAATCAAAATAGTTTCACATGGATTAATCGTACCACTTTTTTTATCAAATGTGTTTGAAATCATGAGGATTCATTAATTTAATCAAACGTGTTCATTCTTAACTAAAGAAGCGTGATTTTGGGCTTGGGTGTAAGGATAAAGGCGTTTTCTCCTAGAAAAAAATTGATTGTTAATCATTTTCAACATTCAAGCAGCTGGGTACCGTAGATTACAATACATTGCATTCATCTTTTGTGAAGAATCCTCTGTATTAATTATACATATTGTTCCAGAATGTCTTGTTGATGTGTTATTTACTTACAGTTATGTTTTCAAAAGGATTTTTCTCAGAGGTGTAGTCACTGACCTTAAAGAGGGGTCTCACCCCCCTTCCCCCAATAATCATAACAAAAAAAAAAGAAAGAAAAAAATGTTTAAAAGGACCGGGAAAGCAAGTAAAAAATGAGGTGAGGGGGGTAGTAAAAGCGAGGGGGTACAACATATAGTACTCCCCACATCTGACTGCTCCTCTCCTTGTGGTAACACCTATGCCTTCTCGGAATTGTTTTTTTTTTAAATAATACTTTTTTTTTCTTTTCAAGCAATAGCAAATAAAGTTTTAGTCAATATAGACGACTTGAAAGTCTTCAGGCAAATTTGAAAAGATTGATACACTCTGTAGGTACGTATTCAGAATTAAAAAAGAATAATTCTTAATCCAGACGATATTTTGTTATTTTTTCATTATTTGCTTATTCGATATATAGATAATAAGGCTTAGATGCCACTGTGTAAAGCGGCAACGTAAATTACTGAGAGAAAAATGATTTAATGTGTTGAGTTGTCACCTTTTGGGCTTGAATTTTGATATTTGATCTCTCATTTTCTTTACTCCATGTTTAATTTCTATCATGGAAATATTCTAACTATATTTCTTTTTAAATGTTTGTTTTAAATTATTTGTATACGGATTTTGTAAGAACAGGTGTAGTGCTATATTAAATATGCTACCACTTCGTAAATCCTCTTTTAAAAGTACAAAAGTTGTTTAAAAATAAAATCAATAGATGTCTTTTCAGATTTTTTACGCTTTAATTTGGATATTTTTTTTTCGATTTCATGTTAGAATAAGCGAGGGAGAACATATTTTCTCATACAGTAAAAACATGTATACCAGGAACGTAGAATAGTTTTTGAAAGGGGGCGGTAAAAGTAATAGAGAATTCCCTGAAAAATCTGTGAAAAAGGGAAAAGTGTCTTTTCAGGAGAAAAAATTGTTGAATACATTAACATGAGAAGATTTAAATATACTACAAAACAGGGGGGGGGGGCACCTTACCGGTCTTTATTACTAAATTATGGTTAAAAGAAGGCAGACCCCTCCCCCCAATACTACCTGCCTGCATGTGATATACACATGTATAAATTGTTTCCGGGATATATCATTATTTTATCATGAATTGTATCCCATGGCATCTTCCGCTCGAACTTAAATACCTATTCTTAATGAATGTAGAATTTTAAATTGTTGAATGCATATTTTCTATGTTACTTACGTTTGTTGTTCCTGGGCGCAGACTATCTTAGGAAATCGGTCATGGTCATATTCCAGAAGATTATCTTGTGACTTTCACGGACACTTGAGTTATTAGACAAGATCTAGCTTTCATATCAATAATTTTCTTAAAATCTTACCTTGTTTATCTTGAATAAACTTTCATTTATGTGTCTTCCTATCAAGAAATTTTGACAACGTGGCCATGTTTTTATCTCTCTATCCAATTTAAATGAAGCGGAACACTTTTTGCGCCTGTTCTGTCACGGACATATGATCACGTTTGATCCCCTGGTATTTTGACATTACTTTTTAAACAAGTTACTTATTTATAGCACACCACAAATAAAGAACTATAAAGCAGTGTAAAAGTTTGCATATTTTCAGGAAGTTGGTTATGATGAATTTCACAACAGACGAGTAACTGTGTAACATATATCTTACAATATAGATCACATCCCCTTTGTGTACAAATAAACGGACTTGTATACATTGCACCGATCTTGAATGTTAAATGGACGATGAAAATTAAAAAAAAAAAATAGATACCATTGATCAGTATATACATGTATCATATGTGGTCATCTAAGACTTGCCAAATTAATACGTTTGTGGTAAAACAGTTCAATTTATGGTATATTTGAACTGCTCTAACTTATAGAAAGCAAGATACAGTCGACACAACATTCTCTCTTTTTGCATGTTTTTTATATGTGTAGTAAATTTATATATAGTCTCCACACTTTATATTATGATGGAACAACCCCACCCCCGCAAAAAGGAGCTCCATGTAGGATGATATATATAAAAAAAGAATAATAAAACTATCCTCCTTTGTTGTTAAAAGGATGCATTTTCTTATGTATATTCAGGACATTACTTAAAAAGAAACATATGAAACATACAGCTCATTTTATCTTAAATGCAAGTTATAGGGGAAAAAAAATTTGAAAGGGAATAGAACCCCAGGACTGTTAATTCGTTATTGTCATGTTTTCCCTAGGGTATGTGGTTGTTATCAATAATAGGTGTGGTACAATTCTCATCAATTCTACATGTATTTCCTACTAAATACAAGAAGTCTGTATGAAGGTTTAAAAAGAAAAACAAAATGTGTTTAAATTGCTTAGATACAAGTAGTATTAGTATACAATATATTGTAGATAATGACTAAACAAAGAATTTACTCATAGTTGTTCAAATTTCACGTATCAATAATAACAATTCTAAAGATGTTCTTGAAATGTACATCATGTAGCAAGCCTTAAAAGGAGGGATATATTAATATTATATTATATACTTTCATGTACATTACTTGAATTTGATTCGTCGAAAAACATTTGTTAAAAAACATTGTTATTTAATTACCTCTGATTGATGAAGCCACGCCCTCCAACCCGATAGAACTTAGCAACAGTCAACATTGCTTGACGACTGGTGATATTCAAAAAAGAAGTGCCTGCGCGAAATCTTTGCGCGCGCGCTTCACCTTTCTTTGTATTTGAATAAAACATTCAGAATAAAATGGGGCAAAAATTTCCCTGTACGGATATTATATAAATACCGCATGTAGTTGAGTGTAACATTGAAAATTTTCACCCCAAGAAAACTATAGTAAAAAATTTCCAATGTTACACTCAACTACATGCAATATTTATTATATTATACTGCATGGCGTAGGAACGGGGGGGGGGGCACAGGGGGCCGTGCCCCCCCCCCCCCATTATTTTTGCCGATATATAGATTACTATAGTAAACATAGATACTATATACTATATGCTTGTGCCCCCTCAATAGAAACACCTGATGACCTTTTTTTTTGTTTGTTTGTTTGTTTTTTTTTTGTTTTTGTTTTTTTCCCCTGTCAGGAAATTTTTGGTAGTGCCCCCTCAACTGTCAACTGAAAAATGTTTGGCTGTGCCCCCCCCCCCCCAAACTGAAATTGCTTCCTACGGGCCTGTACTGAATGTTTGATACAAATGCATATTACAGTGAAAATTGCGCGCAATAATTCAGCGCAGTCAATATTTTGGAATATCACCAGTCGTCAAGCAATGTTAACTGTTGGTACGCTGGATTCATTATTCAGCGGGTAATAGGGTTTTTTTTTTTTTTTTTTTTTTTTTTAACAAATCTTTCTCGACGAATGAAAGTATAGTAATTATAGCACTTTAAAACATTGTATAACATCATATACAGAGGAATAATACATTAACTTTGCTTTAGAACACAGATCAAACAAGATATCCTATTGATCATGTCACAAAGGATGCCTGCACTTTAAACGTCAGGGTTTTTTTTTCTTTTTCAGTCGCTTCTGTTGTTTTATTTCACTTCTGTTTGTTTATTAAAGAATCTTGTCAATTTGGAACCAAATTTCAAAGTTAAAATGATTTTAGATTGTGATACAATGAAATAATTCAATTTTTTTTTGTCCTTACTGCTTTCCAAATATGGAGAATTTACTTGTATACTTACCTGTCCTTGATTGAACATTAGGTTGATAAATATATGCATGAGAGGTGGAGCTAATATTGTAAAATTGGGTCTAAAATTAGAGTAGCATAAAAACAATAACATGTATAAAGAAAAAAACCCACATGATCTCTTTTTCTCACAGGCACCTGACGTTACTTATTTTTCTTATAATAAAAAAAAAAATATATCCCTACTTAATAATTAGGTAGGGGGTATATATATATTTTTTTTGTAAGAAAAATAAGTAAGGTCAGGTGCCTGTGAATGAAATGACTGCAATTTCACTATTTAGTTACAAGGTCAACAAATCTTGGGGTCAGTTAAATACATGTATTAATAAAGAAAAAAGAAAAATGGCACAATTTTTATTTATTTAAAGTGATGTAAAATAGGTTTCTTTAAAAAAAATCAATTGTACTAGAAGTACATGAATTCATAAAATGAAATCAGTCATGTAATCTGTAAAAAGGATGACTGCACTTAATGACATGCGAAATTTGCGACAAAATACACTGGTAAACATCTAATCTCAACTTTACGTAATTCGTTAAATAAAAGTATTTATTATATAGTCTATTTATAGTCCCTATATAATATATACAAACGCAAACAGTACGAAGTACGGATCTTTCTTTTCTAAGGCAGGGAAAATCACAATCTCCGTACAATAATGAGGACGTCCACTTTTTCACTGACTTATTACATAGTCAGCACATGTTTTTCTACTATTCTCCTTTTAACAGTAATTAACGATATGCATTACTAATGTTGTGTTAAACGGAAATAAATAGACAAACATGCGCTCATGGTTTAAAGAGAAAACTGCTTACTCTCTGTTGTAACCAAGGGCTGTGACATGTTGAATATCATAATTCACCACGTGATTTCTTACCTCAGCAAACTCTGTAAATACTAATTTCGTCACGTGACTTGTAAGGTAGAATATTTTGTTCCAACAAGGACACTGTGCTCGAACACGCTAAATTGCCAGGCATTGATTTAAAATATTCTTAACTTACATGCCCATATTGTTAATTTTGTTTTCAAACCTTTGTAAATAGTGTATTTGTGCCATACGGAATAAAAAGGAAGATGGAAAAGGTGGTCACGTATTTTTTAAACATGTAAATGTGATTTATATAGTCTAAGTTTAGACATTTTTACAATGTTAGCTCCACCTCTCATGCATACCTATTGTTCAATCAAGGGCAGGTAAGTGTAAAATTTTCGATACTGGTATTTCGAAAGAATTAAGGGGAAAAAAAGAGAATTATTTTATTGTATCACAGTTTAAAATCAATTTAACATTTACATTTGGTGCCATATTAACAGAATCCTTTATAAAATATACGAAAGTGAAATTAGATTAAGATATTAAAGCAACAGAAGCGACCGAAAAAGACTTAAAATTCGGTGTTAAGTGCAGTCATCCTTTGTTATTACAAATAAAATTCGAATTTGACAATTTGTGATATTGAACTCAAAAATATTTTTTGATAAGTGCTAAATAGGCTTCTGAGAAAATTACATAGAGGATTTAGTGTTTAAAATAAAATATGGATTTTGTTAAAAGAAATATGACAGATGAGATATATATTTACATGTATGCTTCAAAATGATACATACTGAATATTATATTACACTGTATATTACCATTAATCAAACTAATACAAACTTCATCCTGTATATTATCATTATTCAAACTAATACAAACTTCATCCTGTATATTACCATTAATCAAACTAATACAAACTTCATCCTGTATATTACCATTAATCAACCTAATACAAACTTCATCCTGTATATTATCATTAATCAAACTAATACAAACTTCATCAAACTAATACAAACTTCATCCTGTATATTATCATTAATCAAACTAATACAAACTTCATCCTGTATATTACCATTAATCAAACTAATACAAACTTCATCCTGTATATTATCATTAATCAAACTAATACAAACTTCATTTTTATTAGCATAAGGAATACAAAAAAATGATAGCAAAGGGGAATAAATATATAAATGTCAGATTAATTATGGAGAAAGGGAATGAACGGATATTTTCAGAAAATGTCTTCGAAAAAGGGTTAAAACACATCAAATGTACCGCAGATGAGGTATCAACGGAGGGTCGAGGGCTTCTGTGGAAGTGCTGCCTCAAAAACATGTATGTTATTGAAAATAAATACATTGTACATGTATATAGAAAAAGCACATTAAATGCAGTATAATACTAGTATGCTAATGTTATAATGATGTTCTGATCATTTTCATGTGCAAAAGACTTGAACATTTTCTTTATGACAAAGATCACTGAATTTGGAGCAGAAGTAATTATACACAGATGATTTAAGAGCCGTAAGATAGGTTTCTTGTATATTGCTGATCTCATCTGTAGAAGAGCAGTTATTGTATCTGAATCTGTCATCATCCGTTGTGGAAAAAATTCCTTGAAAAAATGAAAATTGCATAAAATCCTAGGGCCATGGCGCTCACCATTGTCATAATTAACTTCATCCAAATTTGTCTAATGTTTTATTTTGTAAAGTTTATGCATGTTTATTTTTTTTAGTTTTTGAATTTTCATCTATACAATACAGTATATAGGGTCAAGTTTAAATCAGAGTCCCGTCCCTGCTTTAAAAGTCTACTAGATGAAATCCCGCGCAAGCGCGGGGAATGGAATTTATACCACTACCGACAGAAAAAATCCAATGATATCCAATAATATATATATTGTGTATACATATATACATATACATAATATACATAGTTTTTACTGACAGCCTACAGGCTTATAGCAGGAAGAAATACTTGTTCAAAATCCCGCATGAAGTAGAAGTACGTCTCTACCCGCACCTTTGTAAAACTTAAATAACAATTTCATTAATTGACGTTTATTGCGAAACCTGTTATATACTATGTTATGGATATTGTATATATACAGTGTTATGGATATTGTACTTCAGATGCTCTTATTTCTGTCACAGATGTTGTGTTTTAATTTGTACATAAAATTGGCGCGCATTGCCAATCGAATGCGTTCGCTGCGTTTGTTTGTGTTGTGTGTTTAGTGTGAATGTTTTGGGAGATCATGTGACATTGTTTATTTTTGTATTTCCACGTGTTTCCGGTTAGGTGACCTAATGTGACCTTACAGCTGACCAATAACCGACTGTTTTATCTTATTAATATGCATGTTTAAATTTCTGCACCGAGTATTTAAGCACAGTACCCGCCAATTCTTTACCCCCACGCTTTTTGCCTTTACGGTAGAAGTCTTACATATATTTGAAACATAGAAGTATTCTTTCAAGTATTACTTGGAATTAATTTAACTGGATTCCTGGTAAGCTTTCTGTTTACCTTTATTATAATTATTATATAAATGTATTTTATAATTTACTTTTATTAATTAATCCCGACAGCGAACAATCATATAATTTATGTGTTGTTAATGTCTGATGTTAAATGTAAAGTATTCGTTTTGTGTGTGTATTGTGTTGTGAGAGTGTGTTTAATTTATACTTTGTAGGTTTTTTGTTATAAGCACAGTAATAAATATAGTTGTGCCGAATCCAGTGTTGGATTTTTCCTACAAAAGACCCGGTGACAATGGCGCCCAACGTTGGTTTGTGCTGAAAACCAGGATCCAGGACTAGCTGCGAACGCCCAGGACCAAGCCAGTGTTTCTGTGACGTTTTGAAACAGCTACAATCTTCAAGAATGGAATTCCGTCCGATTCAAGTAGGCCTACATATTTTTTTTTCGCTCTTCACTAGAGTACTTTATTATTAGAAGTGAATACCGCTTGTTAAACAGTGCGGAGAAAACCATTCACTAAATTGGTGGGAACCGTAATATGCGTGTGTGGTGAACTGTACTCAGTCAGCTAACCGAACAATACCGCCTGTCCATTGTTTTGACCTATACCGTGAAGCGCAGCTCATGTATACCTAAGTAGACGTTAGTGCGGTGGACCATTATCTCTGCAGATCGATTGTCATTTGAGCTCATCAACATCAACATTTAATAAAAACAAAGTCAAGTGTGCACATCATTGTTTTGTGTTTGTCTATGTTTTTGTTCATATGTTTGTCTTTATGTATTTGTATTTGTTCTGTTTTGTAATGTGTGTGAGTATACCGGCCGGTGCTAACTAGTGCGCAAGGTGCGAGAACTGAAGTGTGAAAGAGATCGGGCTCGATATTCCTGTAATTGTGACGTCACGGTTTGTTTCGTTTTGTACTTTCGTAATACAGAAAAACGTGTTTTGTCAGGTGTTTCTGTTTGATCCAATTTATTTTTTTTTTTTGTTTATTTATTGGCTGTCATTTTGAACGCGCTGTCGATTTCATCGTGCATTGTGGTGTTCATTACTATGTGTTGTCTACTGTCAATGTATTTTCCGATTTTTTGTTGAATGTTGTACATGTTTGTGTTCAACGTGCCTCCCTCTCCCTATCCCATTTTCCCCTGCGCATAGCGACAATCACTTTACAGGTATTACTAATCCATCAACTGCACGACATGGACTCTTGGACAGCTTGGACTGACAATCAGGTATTTGTGTTCTCAGTTATCAATGTCACTGTGTATATATTTTGAGTCTGCATGTGGGTGATAGTGTGTATGTGCATCTTGTTGATAAATGCGCAACGCGTTATTTGCTTTTATTTTGCTGGAAATTAGTTTTCATTATTTACAATTTGAAATCAAAATGTCAAATACTGCAAGAGCAAAAGATGATAAGGGTAAGAAGGAATTGCAAGATATCATTGATCAAATTAACAGTGAACAACATTTGAGAGTTTTGACAAAAGAAGAGTATGACAGATTACTCAATAAGGAACCCCCTACAGGTGTTACATTTCAACATCTCCCCACTAGTACACCTAAGGTTCAGCTCAACTTTGGTGAAGGAGCTATTCCTAAATTTAGATCCAAAGAATCTTTACTTTCACCAAGGTATTTTAGCCCATCTGCTCTGTATCAGAACCCAAATTCTACTCTGTGTCAAATTCCCAACCCTAACTCTGTTAAACTTCCCACATTTAGTGGAAGTGAACCACTGCAAAAAGGTGAAGTAAGTTTTGATGTATGGTCTTATGAAGTTAGGTGTTTGAAAAATCAATTACCTGAACATGTTTTGTTACATTCTGTTAGAAGTTCTTTAAAAGGGTTAGCCAGAGAGATGTTAATTCCTCTCGGAGAGTTTGCTAGTGTCGACAACATCCTAATGAAGCTGGAAGACTTTTACGGAAATGTCAGCACTGCAGAGAACATCATGCAAAACTTCTACAGTGATCATCAAAAAGAAGGTGAGAGCATTGTTGCTTATGGTTCAAGATTAGAACAAACTGTTTCAAAAGCTGTTAGACTTGGACATGTAGATGTAGTAGCAAAAGATTCAATGTTAAGATCAAAATTTTGGTCTGGATTGAGAAATCCCCAGTTGAGAAATGCTACTAGAAATAAATATGAAACTGTCAAAGAATTTCAGACACTGTTAAGGGAAGTTAGACAGATAGAGCAAGAAGAATTGAACTTAACTGTTGCTAAGCCAGTTCAGAATAGTGTTGTATCAACAAATGTCGAAACATTAAATGTATCAAACTCTGATTTGCAAAAACAGCTCAGTGAACTACTCAGTCAAATGAAAAAGCTTGATGCTCGAATGAGTAAAATAGAACAAGATCAAAAGAATTTAACTAATGCAGAATCTTTTCAGAGACATACGCCTCAAGACAATTCCAAAGGCAACTTCAGAAACAGTTACCAAGGCAACAGAGGAAACTACCGGTACCAGAATTCAAGAGGAAGAGGAAATTTCTCACAGCAATATGGTAATAGAGGTTATGGTAAAGCACAGAGAGGTAATGATTTAAACTAGCAGCATCTTCTGTTGCAGGGCGGACAGAAGATCAGTTTACTAAAAGCCCTACTTTACCTCCTAATCAAGATCTATTGACCAGACTTGTAGGTACTCCTAATGAAGCAGACATTACTGTGTTTGGTACCAAGACCAAGGCACTTATTGACTCGGGGTCTATGGTCACATGTATTTCAGAATCTTTCTATGAATCTCTGAAACCTATGCCTGAACTGTTAAGTTTAACAAATTTTGGACTAAGTGTTCGAAGTGCCAATGGCAGCGAATTACCTTACAAAGGTTATATAGAGTTACAAATCAGTGTTCCTTCTATAAGTAACTTTTCATGTCACATCCCTGCCCTTGTTGTACCTGAAACAAATTATTCGAAGAATGTCCCAGTTATTATAGGTACTAACTTTATTCGTCTTTGCAGACAAAACTGTGAGATGATGGCACAGTCGTCGGACATACCAGACGAGTGGCAGTTGGCTTTCGAGAGCATGAACGATGAGATGCCGGTCAGGACAACAAATAAGCATACCATAACAGTTGCTCCAAATGAGACCAAAGTCATTAGAGGTATTGTAAAAAATGTAAATAATATTGACTCTGCATTGACAGAGCAAACTAATACTAGTCTGTCTGGAGATCTTGTCATATGTCCTAGAGTTATTCCCCTTACCAAGGGTAAGCACACAGTTACCATTCCTGTTAGGGTGTGTAATCTTTCTGTTACATCTGTTCAGATACCTCCCAAATCACTTTTATGTTCTATTCATGGTGTAAAGGTAGTAGATTCTTGGTCTCCTGAATCTCAGAACTCAGGTAAGAAGCCCAGAAAATCTTTGGAGGATTTGAATTTACAGATTACTGAGGAGAACCTTACTCTAGATCAGGTAAGTGTAGCTAAAGACTTTCTAGGAAAATGGACACACTTATTTTCTGATGGCCCGACAGACATTGGCAAGACCAACCTATTAAAGCATGAGATCAAGTTGACTGATGAAACCCCATTCAAAGATGCCTACAGACGCATACCGCCAGGAATGTTGGAAGAAGTTCGACAACACATCAAGGAGATGTTGGATATTGGTGCCATAAGACCATCCCAGAGTCCGTTCTCATCTAACATTGTCCTGGTCAGGAAGAAAGATGGCAGTCTTAGATTTTGTATTGATTATCGGAAGCTCAACGCACGTACCATCAAAGATGCTTACAACCTACCAAGAATAGATGACACCATAGACAGACTTATCGGATCCAAATACTTCTCAAAATTAGACTTAACAAGTTCCTATTGGCAAGTGGAAATTGAAGAAAAAGACAAGGAAAAGACAGCATTTTCAGTTAGTGGAATAGGCCATTTCGAATGCAACAGAATGGGATTTGGACTAACGAATGCACCAGCCACATTCCAACGGCTGATGGAACGCTGTATGGGTGAGTTAAATTTAAGAGACTGTTTAGTGTTTTTGGACGACATCTTAATATTCTCACAAACTTTTGACGAACATCTTGACAGACTGACTGCAGTGTTCAAAAGACTGGAAAAAAATTGTTTAAAACTTAAGGCT